GTGCCCGGTTTTGGAGTTCCCCACCCCCACCCCAGCCTCCTTTCCCAGGAACATGTGGCTCCCCTGCTGTCTGAAATGCCTGTGTGTCCCTCCCCCAGCCCCCCACGCTCACGCACACAGATCCTCAGGAACATATGAAGCAGAGGAGGGGCTGGCTGCAGCTCCCCCAGAGCTCCCTCGCCCCTGCGTTTGGTGGGAGCCCAGCACTGAACGGACCTTTCCCCTGAGTCCGGGGGATGGTCACACCCCCCCCACCCGCTCTTCCCTGGCTGCCCCCCCATTTCTGCTATTCCAGGGTCAGCGGTTCACCTGCCAACTTATGCATCACCCTCTTCCCTCCCTCCTTCCCCAAGGACCTCCCCTCATTTCTTTTAGCCAAGCCATTAATCTGGAGACAGAGATGGGTTTGCTATCGATTCTCTGGCCACTTTTTTTTTTTTTTATTGCATTTTGTGCTGTGGTTCTCACCCTTCTCTGCCTCTGTGCGTTTGTTTCTTTAAATGTTGGAGCTACAAGAAGCCTGGTGCTATTCTGTGGCTCATTTTGGAGGAAGAAAGGGGGGCCTAGCTGCGGGTGAGGACCTGAGTTGTTACTTTGGAAATAGAGCAACTGTGTGTACAACCCTCATAGAGGTCATGTTTGGCCTTTTTATGCCATTCCTGTTAAATTTCACAATTAATCTTGGTTCAGGAACTGTAAATAAATTTGTTAATAACAAATAGCAAAGGGATAGGGCTGGAGTGCAGTGTGTCAGGCCTCAATGTCCCATCCAGTGACCCAGAGCAGGGCCATGGGCCCAGCAGACATGGGCAGAGTAAGTGGCCAGCAGGGTGGGAGCCCCCTGCGAGCGGGAGAGCGTATGTCAGGCACCACCCTCCCCGGCCTGGCCCCTGAGGGCTGCGGGGGGGGGCGGGGGCTGCATCTGTCCTGTCTCCTCTGGTCACCGACTTGGTTCTGCTGCCTGCCAAGCGGTCGCCAACAGAGGACATGCCCACAGCCCACTGCCAAGGAAACTCCTTTGCCCTAATGAGCTTTCCTGCTAGGGTCGCTCTCCCTTGTGCCCCGTTGCCTCTCCCACAACACCGCCACTTTGGATAAGAAGTTTCCCCCACCCCTTTCTCAGACCCCTGGGATATCCTCCTGTGCTGCTCAGAGACCAACACACCCAGTGCCAACACCCTCCTCACCATCTGCCCAGGACCTCACAGCCAGCTGGCCTTCCCCTCCCATCTCCACGGTTGTGACCTTGGACATGACCTCTCAGCCAGGCCAAGGCCCAGGGCTGTCTCTCCCTATCCATGTCTCCGTTCCAGCCTCCAGGATATAAATTTAGAGGGGACTGAAGGAGACCTGAGCTCGGACAGATGGGTGCTGGCCCTCACGTGTGGCCCTCAGTGGCTCGACTAATGGAACCCCCTTCCGCTCCTCCGCAGATGACCTTGACTCAGACTGTGCAAGCACTGCCTCCCCCTGCTCTCCATCCCCTTCCCACATCTGACTCTTGCGGAGGGAGCTGTGTCCTTCCTGTCACTGTCCCTGCTCTCTGGTCTACCCCAGCCAGGCTTGTCAAATTCCTTATCGGATTTGCCATCTCCTTCCCTCTGCCCTAAAACTCCACTCCTTGATTCAGCAGCCCCCCTCCTTCTCCAACCCCTTCCTGCGGTCTGCAGCCGCTGCCTCCATGTCTGCACCTTGTCCTCCCAAAGCCGCGGAGGCTCTGCCTGAAGCACTCCACGGGCCTCAGCCGGTCCAAGGTCACCGGATAACCCGAGAATTATCAAAGTCAGCTTCCTTCTCTCCTTTTCCACCTTGAAACCTGGCTCCCCTGCTCCCGTGACCCCCTGCCAGCCTGGTCCTTCCCTCCCCCAGCCTCTGCCCTCTTTACCAGCCTCGCTCAGCACAGGCCTGAGTCAGTTCCTGGAACCCTGACCCACCCTCCGGCACCGCTGCTTCCCCAACCTGGGACCTTCGTCCTCAGCCCTGTGCACTGCTCTTTCCCTTCGCAGATGGGACCTGAATTGGTAGCTCAGCCCCTGGCTCCCTTCTGAATTCTCCTCTTCCCCCACGCTGGGTGGGAATGCAGGGGGGCCTAGCCCCAGGCCGGCTCCCACTGTGACTTCCAGCGAGGCCCTTGACTACTCTGGGCCTCGGTTTCTTCATGTTTCGGTGAGGGGCTTGGATGAGATGCCTTCAAGGGTCCTTCTTTCCAATCATAAAATACCTGATGGCCAGCGGGTCCCTTGTATCCCTCTGTCGGGCCACTACCACAGACCTACTTCCTAGAAACTCGTCCCTCCAGCCAGGACCAGCTCCCCTTCCCAGTGTGTCCTGCGCCTCTCCCGGCATCCTCTCCTTCAGCCCCTCAGGCCCTCCCACCAGACTCAGGTCCTCCTGGTCACTTCCCCTGCTGCCCGGCCTCCCCTTACAGCCACCCTGCCTCCTCCCTGCTCTCTGCCACCTTCTGGTCCCTTGTCTGGCCACCGTGGGCACTCCAGCCCTGAGGCTGCTCTCGGCCACTGACCTGGAATGCCCCTTGATGACAGCAAGAATGCCCTGCTCTTCAAGGCCCAGGTTCCATATTCCTCGAAAACCCCATGGTGTATGCCTTCAGGCCACACAGGGCCGAATTCACGTCTGGGTCCTGCCCATAACTGACCTTTGGCAAGGATCCTGAGACACTTTTCTCAATCTGAAAAACGGAGGTAATGGCAGTTTCTGCCTCACTAGAAAGTTGCAAGAATTAGATCTGTTTGTGAGGTTATAAACACTATAACACACATTATAAACTCTCAGCAAACTTTTCATCCACTCCCCCCTGCCCCCCGCCCCGAACCCGTACCTGTGAGGCCTCTCCAAACCCTTCAATAGAGCTTGTTTTCACTGATCTCCCACCTGGTGACCCGCAGCCCCATCCCCAGTGTGTATTTGTGGCTGAAGCTAAGGGGCTCTGTGAGACACCCTCACCCCAGGCGCCCCCTACTTTCCAACAGCTGGTTCCCCAGAACCTGAGGAGGATCCCATGCATGGGGGGAAAGGGGACGGTGGTGGGTGCCACACCTTCCCCACCCCGGGCATGTTGGGCCTTTGGGGGCATGACTACAAACCTCTCAAAGGATGGGCATCCCTGGGACCCCCGGCACCTCCAATTCCTCCCTGAGCTTCAGATTTCTAAGGAAGGGTTCACAAGGATGACTGAGATGGGGGAGAACTAGGCCTCCCTTGGGAGAGCTAACCAGAGGGGTGGCTTTCTCCCAGTGGAAAGGACAGGGAGCTGGGCTGGGATCTGGGAGGGAGCAGAAGGCACTCCTGGTCCTGATGCTCGGGGCATTTTCTCTGCGCTCCACCCCTCAACATCATGTCAGCGAGCAGTCTCCCCAAGTGCTGGGTAGAGGGCCCCGAGGCCCCCAGCCACTAAACAGTCCCTTGGGTCCAGCACAAGAACCACAAAGCTGGTTTTCTCCTTGGCACGTCTGGGTCCCCAGGGGCAGTGCGAGCCCGGGGCCAGTGAGCGTCCCGTGCAAGTGCACCAGGGGCTGTTCTGAGCACTTGAGGCCAGCCACTCTACCCCGCAGCAGCATGGCCAGGAAGGGCCTTTCCAACCCCCGTTTCACAGACAAGGAAAGAGGCTCAGAGAGGCTGGGAGACTGGTTCAAGGTCACACAGCCCTTAACCAGGACTGGGACACCAGCTCGTCGCCTGGAGTCCTAATTCCTGCTGTTCGCAGGGCACCCCCCTCCCCCTCGCCTGGCATGGTCTCTGCTACCGGCCTCGCAGCCTGGGCACGGGGCCTGGACGGCCTCCGTTGGCAGGAATCCGCCCACCATGTCTTCCAGGATGGAGTTTTGGGGCAGAGGGAAGGAGAGGGGCCAGGGGCAGCAGACACCCCTCCCTTACCTGCAGCTGCTGGGACTACATCTTGGCTCCGCATCAACCCAGTTTGGCCCCCGTGCAGGAAAATTTGAGGGGAGAACTTGGCTGAAGGGCAGGACTTCAGGGAAGGCGGCCCCAGGCCTCTTGGTGGTAGAGACTCCTGAGGGAAGGCTGGGGGTGGGGACCAGAGCCTAACAGCTCCCTCAGCAAGGGTGACTCAGAGGGTGGCATCAAGACAGAATAGTGGCCCCGAGCCTCTGATTTCCAGAGTCCTGTCCTTCCTCCTGGGCAGACAAGCAATGGGCAGAAGGGACCAAAGGAGCCCACCATAGCTGTGGCACTGGGGTAAGGATTCTCCCAGGGAGCCCCTGCTTTGAAGAGAGGCTGCCTCTACAGCTCCTGACCTTGGGAGAGAAGGTGGGGGAGAGAAACAAGCAGGCTCCTGTTGGGGAGAGGTGTGCAGCTGACACGGAGGCCAAGAGAGGGGAGGTGGGACCTCAGGCTCAGGAGTGGGGTGTGGTCAGAGGAGGGTCAAGATCCCAGCTGGGCCTGCCTGAAGCTGCCGCCCAGGGAGATGAGGGGCTGTTGGGGGTCACAGGGCCATACAATGGAACCACCACTGGAGCTGCCTCAGGATGCCACCAGAGTGGAGTCAGTCTGGGGGCCAGGAAGGACTCTCAACAGGAACCCCAAGGAACCAGAGCCACAGAAATCATAGCAATGCCCCTCAACCGAAGAGGCCCAGGCCACGGACTGGGCATGCCGTGTGGTCTCGGTCATGTAGGGAGAGGGGTCCAGACTCCCCCAGGCCCAGTGAGGCCCAGTGCCCCCGCCCTTGTGAAATGACAAACCCTGCCTGTCCTTTTGGGAGGCACACGGGATCGCAGCTCACTGCTGTGGCCCAGAACAGGCAGGCCAAGAGGAACTCGCCCTGGGGGACCTGGGGAGCAGATAGGATGGACGGCCTCTCACTGCCAGCTCTTGGACTTTGGGAAGCTCACATGGGCACCTCTTTCTTGGAGCCTCCATTTCCCCATCTGAAACGAGGAGCACAATCTCTCCCACCTGACTAATTGAGCTTCTGGGGAATATCCCATAGTAGGTCCTCATTCCTGGGAGCCCCCTCACCCCTACACCCCGGAAGAGGTTTCCAAGATGTCTCCGGAGTGAAGGACCAGTTGGCTCAGCCTTGCTGAGCATCTGGGTCTGGAGTGGCAGGTGGTTGTTGGGGGTAGTCACCCCGGTCCCAGCATTGATGTCAGCACCTCCCGGGAAATTGCCTTCTCACCTGTCCTGGGCCTAAAATAGAGCGCGGGGGGGGGGGGGGACCTGTCACGAGCCAGAGACAGCTCCCCCGTCCCTGGCAGAGTACCTGGGTCCCTAAGGAAGGAGAGGACCCAGGAAGGGGTTCCCTGTCTCCACTCCTGCTCCTTAGCCCGGTATGGCTTCGAGGATGCTCTGGCCTTGGGCACAAGGTCATGGTGGGACCTCACCAGCCGTGTGCAAGCCCTGCCACCCCCCACCCATCTCAGGTGTCTGGTTCTTGGGATCCCTAGCAGAGATCAGAGATCCCAGCCCCCAGTATGGGGACCCATCTTACCCAGGAGCCCACGAGCTAAGCGAGGCGGCACAGGGAGAGAGGTGGTTTGCAGACAGGGCAACCTAGTCTGGCCAGAGAGGGGAAG